CTGCTCCTGTTAGGCGTTATGTGTCTCACCACTTCAGTTCATCTGAGTTGGCATGAATGTTCTTCCTTAAATCAATGATTAATCTCACGGACGAAATGTGTTTTCTGTTACAGCATTTTCCCTTCTGGTCGCAATTATACGTTTCCATTGCCATTATGAATACTTCGTTCATTCTTAAGATTTTGTCAATAAGATCGCTATTAGATGCGTCATTCGGGCGGCGGCTGTTGGCTACCAGACCCTTATTTATTGCTATTTAATCCCTCGAGTGCCGTTCTCTAGAAGCCTCCGACTTTTCTACTATCTACCGGCGACACTGTGCCAAAGATGAGAGAACGTGAGTCCGGGAGTCCCAAAACGTCAGTTTATAAATTTGTATTGTGTGTTTGAGGCGAGATTCGATGTATCCTATATATATGGACAGGGGTTTTTTCCGAACCGAAGGTTGGAAGCTAATATAATGACGGCAGGAATGACATTTGTTGTTAGTTACCCTGATTGCGATGCTCCTTAATTGTCTCCATTAGCTTATGAATATCAGTAACCGTAGGATTGTTATAAGTGTGCGCGAAGTTTAATTTATCCGCAAATTTTACATAAACTGGGAGTAGATCCCTTGTGCCGGAGTGTTGTTGATTATTTCGAAAGAGTATAGGCCCATGAAGTGCGATGGGAACGAAACGCACACAAGTATATTAAGATCAAGAAAATTCCATCCACTCGGTGGATCTCCTCTTCCACAAGCAAAGTAAGTCTGAGTTATTTCTTCACTGTAAACATTTGTATGTTCGATAGACCGAATGCGTTGCCCGTAATCTTTATTTCTATGACACGCCTACCTAATTAATTAATATGGAAGTGTTAAGCTCTACTTATAAAACCCCCATTAAAATAACTCTATTACAGGAATTTCTGGGCTCCATTTTCTTAGTGGGACTACATATTCAATACTTACCGCAGTAGTTTTATAAAACGAAAAATCACTTCGAGATTCACCAACATATACGAAGGCTTGTAAATTTTTAATTTCAGATGGGATGTCGTTGGTTTTATAAGGAAAGTATGACGATGAGTTGAGTAAAAATTACCAGCTATGATACTCGGACAGCGGTTTGACAGGTAGAGTCCAGTGAAGTCGAATAGAGGATGCTGAATGCCGATGGCTTTAAGTTATGCTAAAGGAGGTCTGCGTGGTGCCCTGTCGACGGCTATATTACAATCGAAATAAATGAATACCACTGACGGCTATTCATTACGCGGTGAAGTGACAGTATTAAGATAGGCTAAGAGGCAAGTTATATGAGATCGTTGAGGTAAAAAGTTGTATCGAGTAGAGCTTGGAAATTGACTAGCCTGACTGAAGTCAAGAACTGGTCTTTAAATTATCTTTTCGAGATGTTTCGTCGGAGACAGCGTTTTATCCGTGCTTAGTATCAATTAACGTCTGACCGATATCCTGACCTGGAGAGTGGATGGATATTAAATGCCCTCCATGTTTCAGGGAAGGATCTACGCGAAAGTCAGACAGAGAACGTATGGCTATGCAGCCAGAGGTAGTCTGACATCTTGCTAACTGGGTTTAAAACGTGTCCCATGTCGATGAGTGTGAGTTTTAAAAGGCTTATTTGATCCTGAACTAGTTTACAGGATACATCAGTAGTATGGAGACCATTATGTGAACGCGGACAAAAGGAGGGAATTAGTTAAGACTAAGTAGTAAAGTGCTTTGCAAAGAAAGTTCCTAACAATCCCGCTTTGTCAATGTCACCGATGAGGGGTTTTTATCTTGATTCAACAAAGGGTGAGTGCTGTGACCACGCCTAGATGTGTGCGACGAATTTCTCAAGGTTAGGATCCCTGGTTACAAGTGATTCTCTCTGCCCATTACGCGCATAGCGAACCTTTAAGGTTAATTTGAAAACTTCTGTGATTATTAGTCGATTGAATATATTCAATCGACTAACGAACTAGTGTGCTGAGAGGACAGCTGGTTTTTCAACTTTTTCGTCTATTAGAAAGCAAGTGAGGAACAGTGAAGTTAAAGAAATTTCATAAACTTCTGCATTATGAGGTTTAACATGCCTTTGGAAACAACTGACCAGAAGCAACAAAGAATTGCTATATCCTTATTAGAGAGAAAGCCGTACCAGCGGAGTAAGTGGCCCATGACGTCGTATTTTTGAAAAGACAAGCAGAAAGTAACAATAAATTAATATACTGCCGCTTTCGAGCCCCAACAGTTATACCTGAAATTAAAACCGTCGGTGTGTTGCTAAAAGGTTTGTTGCCTTATACGCCATTCACTTTTGCACGTTAGGATAATGGATAGCAGCCCTGTTCTTTGGCAATACTGCACCAGTTTACTGGAGTTAGTTTCTTTCATAATTTCATCGGCTGCGGTAGACATATCATAACGCATATAAAACAATGCCGATTGATCAGCGTATTGCGGCAGCCACGTTTAGGCATCTAATGTAAGCAGTTTTGGCAAATTTATGTCCCCAAAGACGTTTAATCTACATAGATGTAGGCGCGGCATAATAAAACTTGAATGCGTCGTGCTAACACTACAAGAGGCTGGCTTACGTTTGTGTCCTAAAGCATGCCAGTTCTTAAACAATAGACTGACCTTCGTAGGGCACATGATTAGCACAGCTAGCGTTTTCGGGAATTAGGCTAAAGTTGTGGCTGTCATGCTTTGGTCCATAACTCAATCAGCGTGGAAGTTAAGAATTTCATAGGATTAGCAAAAACTCCCAACACTTTGTTCTCCATTTCGTGGAGTTTAACCATCCATTACGCAGACTCACAGAGATAGGATGACAGCCAAAATAGACCGATGATTGTCAGTCTGCACTTGACAAATAAAATTGTCGGATCTTAGTGGCCCCCTCGCTCGGTACACTGGACAGAAAAAAAAGTTGATGCTACTAAGCCACCAGCGCCGTCTTCTGTTACGGTCGGTTGCCCCTCGGATTGTCTAAAAGGGAAGGAATATTCCAGTCTGTCAGTGTGAGCGGACTCACCATACCAGTCTGGCGAGTGGGGCGGCGGGGAGGAGGAGGGGGAAGAGAGATTGTGTTGGTTCTGATTCGGTTGTTGCAACCGTGAGTTTTGCGTCTGAGGACATGGTCAGCCTGCAAACGGCGTGGGTGCCCAGCATTTTTTCAGGGCACCTTTTCTAGCACCTTCGCCCTCGCGGGGGTGAACAGTGTTCTCCCTAAATAGGGCTGACCAGTTGTCCCAGCCGGCTGCTGAACTCCATTATGTGTCATGGCTTTTGCTTAGTGGAAGAACGACCCGAGTTAGCCTGGGCCTGCCTATAACATTGCCGTAGGACTTAAAAGGGGGAGGGGGAAGAGGAAAGGTAGAGGTACGGGAAGCAGAGATTTCCCGTCCATCTCCAAGCAAACTGGTTGCTGAACTATATAAGCGGTGAGCAAACAGATTCAAAAGAACAGCATTTAGCTTACAATAAGGACAAACACAAACAAGCATACCAAAGCAAGTAGACGAGAACAGCAAAAAGCAAAGGCAACAGCGAAAATCCAACAGAACGGTATTTAGTTTTCAACAGGAACAAACACAAACAAGCTGATGAATAGCAATCCAGCGGAGAAATGTTTGCTTACCTGGGAAGCAGTTACCTTGTGGCCTCCTGCGGTGTTACAGATGGAGTCTCCTCTCGGAGATGCCGAAGTGGTAGTCCATCCGGCCGGCGGAGCCGAGTTACCGCGTGCGGAGATGCACACACGGATACCCTCGCCTGGTTTAGCCTGCCGATCGAGGCAGTTACCGGCGTGTGGCCAGCAGGCAGAGCCTAGCTTCGGGGAGCCACATGCGAAGGTTGGGTGCCAGTAAATGGACGCTAGGCGTAGTCTACACCTGCGAGTAAGTGAGCGACCTACTACGACCGCCACGTGAACCCATAACTGGACACCGTATGGGTAGAAGATCCCAGACATCGCTTATCAAGTTGCTTTCGACATTGGCTGCACATTCAATGTGGTTCATTAAAGGGGTTCCAAAACGACACATCTATTCTCTACGTAGCGTTGCCATAACCGAGGCAATAGCTTGTTGACACAGAGGCGCAGCTTCTGCCCGCACGTTGAAACAGTCGACTAGGAGGATGGGGATGTACAGTGAAGGAGGAGACACGATCGCTGGGACAAGAGCGTTATTCGCCTGACGTTTCAGATTCCTGCTCGAACCCATCATCAGGGACAAAAGCTGATACGGGTAGTTCATGCGCAAGGGGCTGCAGTATTTATAGGATGTAGTCGCCATGCCACCATGGCTCCCCCCCGTCCACCATGGGTCGTTGCACTCGGTGTGATGATTGTTTGATGGTCGATATTCCGCCGTTATTTGCCGCGGGTGAATGTTAGTGTGATGATTGCTCGACCATCTGACCAACCGACCCTGGCGTTGGGACCAGTGTTCACTTGTGTGCTCCAAGTGATGAAATTGCAGAAATTAACGGCGCGAATATCGACTATCAAACAATCATCCCACCGAGTGCAACGATCCATGGTGAAGGGGGAGCCACGGTGGCATGGCGACTACATCCTATAAATGCTGCAGCCCCTTGTGCATGAACCACCCTTATCTGCTTTTGTCTCTGATGATGGGCTCGAGCAGGAATCCGAAACGTCAGACTAATAAAGCTCTTGTCCCAGCGATCGTGTCTCCTTCTTCACGGCTGCTTTCTGAGACTCCTCTCTTCGTTTCTATTGTACAGTAGATTTGCTAACTCATTAAATGTTAACCGAAGTTCTGAAATACGTTTTTGGCTCGAAAAGATTACTCAAGTAGGGTTGTAATATTACTTACCATGCCGCATAATCCCAAGGTAATTCAATTACTTCAGGATGGCAGCTTTTGAATGAACTTCTTCTCAGCCGTCTGCAGAAACTACACCCTCTAAAATGACTACTTTACTAGTGTGGATTTTTCCCACTGGTTTTTGATGTCCTTATAAATTCAAATATATTCCACAGAAATCGTACATAAAAATATTCATTCTTTTACTTATTTAGTAGAAAATAATGTCTTATTCAAACTGTATACTTCGTGGGAGGGTTAACTTCAATTTTAAAAGAAGTTTCTGATTATGAAATTTTTCAAGGTCGCGAGATGCCCGTTCAACACAATCTCTCTTCCCCCTCCTCCTCCCCGCTGTCCCACTCGCCAGCCTGGTATGATGAATCCGCTCACTCTGGCAGCCTAGAATATTCGTTCCCTTTTAAACAATCCACGGAGCAACCGACCGTAACGGAAGACGGCGCTACTGGCTCGGGAACTGGAGCGCTACAAGGTGGATATCGCCGCACTCAGCTAGATCCTGTTCTCCGAACAAAGCCAATTGGAGGAGGTTGGTGCCGGCTACCCCCTCTTCTAGAGCGGTCGCCCCGAGGCAGAGCGACGAGACGTGTTCCTTGCCCTTGTCATCAGGAACGACAGCGTGGGACGACTGCCCTGTCTGCCGCAGGATACCAACGAACGCCTGATAAGCCTCCGCCTGCCGCTCCGGGGAGGCAAATTCGCCACTCTCATCAGCGTCTACGCCCCCCGATGACCAGCCCCGACGCCGCAAGGGACAAATTCTACGAGGACCTGCAGTCCCTCCTGGTGTCTGTGTCGAAGGCGGATTCGCTGATTGTGTTTGTTGACTTCAACGCCCACGTCGGCAAAGACCATGCTGTCTGGAGATTAGTTCTGGGTCCCCATGTTCTCAACGGCTCTAATGACAATGGCTTTCTCCTCCTACGAACCTGCAGCGAGCACCGTCTCATCCTGACCAACACCTACTTTCGCCTCCCGATGCAAGAGAAGGCCACCTGGATGCACCCTCGGTCACAATACTGGCACCTGCTGGACTATGTCCTCGTCTGGAGGCGAGACCAGCTGGACGTGATGGTGACAAAGGCGATTCCAACCGACCCTCGTCTCGTCATCTCCGAAATGCGGATTCGCCTATAGACTCACAGGAGTCCTCAGGGCAAGTGCCTCTCAGGTAAGCTGAATATTGCTCTGTTGTCTTTGCCTGCGCATCATCTCTATTTCAGCTCAACGGCTAGCCAACCTTCCAGTCGCTGTCGTCGCCGTCGCTGACGAGCACGCCTCCGTTGAGAACCGATGGTGTCAACTGCGAGACACAGTCCAGTTGACGGCGCTGGCCTTACTCCGTCGCGCAAGTCGCCAACATCAGGACCTGTTCGATGACAGCGACACCGCCATCAGCAACCAGCTCGCCGAGAAGAACTGTCTGCACAAAACCTACTTCACTCGCCCCACCGACGACAACAAAGCTGCCTTTTGCCGTAGTCGCAGCCTTGTGCAACAGCGACTGTGCGAGATGCATGATGATTGGACGGATCGCGAGGCCGAGGAGATCCAAGGGTACGCTCATCGCAACGAATGGAAGAATTCCTTCTCCGCTATCAAGGCTGTCGCCGGTCCGCCAACCAAAGCAACTGCTTTGCTTCTCAGCGCCGACAGCAGAAAACTACTCACCGAGAGGACACCGATCATACAGCGTTGGGCCGAGCATTTCAGAGGCTTCTTCAACCGGCGTCCATCTCCGGTGCTGCCATCGCCCGCCTGCCTCAAGTGAAGACCAACGCCGACCTCGACTTCCCGCTCTATCTCCATGAAACTATCAGGGCCATAAAGCAGCTCTTCAGCGGGAAAGCGCCCGGATCGGACGCGACCACTGTTGAGATGTACAAGCACGGAGACTCCCAACTCATGGATCATCTGACGGCGCCCTTCCAGGAGATGTGGCGTCAAGGAGAAGTTCCTCAGGATTTCGAAAACGCCACAATCGTCCATAACTACAAGCGCAAAGGGAATGGCCAAATCTGCGACAACCATTGAAACATCTCCTTATTGAACATCGCCGGAAAGATCACCGATCGCATCCTTCTCAATCACCATCTGGAACAAGGTCTCCTGCCGGAAAGCCAATACGGCTTCCGTCGTCGTCGTCGTCGTCGTCGTCGTCGTCGTGGGCCCACGGACATAATCTTCGCCGCCTGCCAACTGCAGGAGAAGTGTCAGGAGATGCGGACCCACCTGAACTCTACCTTTTTGGATCTGACGAAAGCCTTCGACACGGTGAATCGCAAATGACTGTGGGAAATCATGTAGAAATTTAGCTGTCCTGAACGATTCGTTGGGATGGTGTGTCTGTTCCACGATGGCATGATGACGCGAGTCACGGACAATGGAATAAAGCAGGGGTGCGTCCTAGCGCCCACCCTCTTCAGTTTCATTTTCGCTGCCATGCTGATGGATGACTACCGTGACCAACGCTCTGGAATCCGCACCGCCTACAGGACGGACGGCCACCTCCTCAACCACCTGAGTATGCAATTCCAGTCGCATGTATCCACAACTACCGTTCATGGACTCCACTTGCCGACGACTGCACCCACAACAGCCCCTCGGAAGGGAACATGCAAAGGTGCATTAATCTCGTCACCGCCTCCTGCGACAACTTCGCCCTGGTCATCGACACGGAGAGGACGATGGTCACGCATCAACCACCAGCCGACGCTGCCTACGTCACATCCCAAATCAACGTGAACGTCGCCCAAATGCGAGTCGTGGACACCGTAACCTAGCTGGGCAGCACTCTCTCCCGTAACACTAAAATCGACGATGAAGTAGTTCATCGGATTTCCAAAGCCAGCCAAGCTTTAGACCGTCTACAGAACACCGTCTGGAACCCTCATGGTCCCCATGTCAACATCAAGCTGAAGATTTACCGGGCAGTCATTCTTCTGACGCTGCTGCATGGAACAGACTCCTGGACGGTCTACAAGAAACAAGCGCGGAAACTCAGTCTTTTCCACCTCAGCTGTCTTCGGCAGATAGTGAAGCTGAGGTGGCAAGTCCGGATCCTCGACACGGATGTACTGGAAAAAACGGGAATACTCAGCATCGAGACCATGCTTAGACAACTGCAACTGCGTTGGAGCGACCACCTCGTACGGATGGACGACGAGCGGCTACCCAAACGACTCTTCATCGGGGATGTCGCAACGGGTTCCCGCCACCGAGGAGGCCAAATCCGTCACTACAAGGACACTCTAAAGACTTCCCTAAAGCGTCTGCAGATCAATCCGGCCAACTGGGAAGACCTCGCTTGAGACTGGCCGTCCTGGAGAAAGACAGTGAAGCCAGGCGCAGCGATCTACGAAACCAACCGCATTGGCTCCGCGAAAGCCAAACGCGAGGCTTGCAAATCTCAACTGCGCCCACCTCGCAATGTCAGCGCTCAACCAGCCCCTACCTGTTCGCGCTGCCAGAGGACGTTCCGAGAACCAATCAGCCTTGTAGGACATCTTTGTGCCAACTGCAGCACTCTTGCTACACCAACCACTGTCTCCCCGTCAAACTGTGCTTCCCTCCCACGCCGACAACTAACACCGAACGCACTCCCGAAACTCCACTACCATCCTCTTCCCCCTCCCCCTCCTCCATCGCCTTATCATCTGCGACGGGGGCTCCTGTACCCACTACACCTGCACACAATCCAGACGCACCAGCAAACATCAACCGCCACACCGTGAACACCGGCGACGTGGACTCGGTCGATACGTGCCCTCATTGCGACCGCACATTCACCTCACACATCGGCCTGGTCAGTCATTTGCGAATCCATCGCACAGAGACCGGCGAGCCAGTGCCTGGAGCACCAACATACACTCGCCACTGTGCACACTGCCTCCGCACCTTCACACACAGCATGGGCCTATTCAGTCACATGCGTATCCATGAGAGCGGAATTGACCTCAGTTTCGACACACCCAGCACCTCTTGCACATCATACCATGCCTAGCTCAACCTAACCTCCGCCGTCCAGCTCGGCCACAGTCAGCAGCTCCACCACTGCCACCATCTTCGAAACAAACGCTGGCGCCGCCGACTTTTCCTGTCTCCACTGTCCCAGTAAATTCATCTCAGACATCGGCCTGGTTGGTCACTAGCGAATCCATCTCGCAGACCGGCAAACCAGTGTCTGGAGCATCAACCTACACCTGACGCATCCGCCTCAACTGCCCTCATTGCGCCCGCAGATTCATCCACCGCATGGGCCTACTAGGCCACATGCGCACCAGGGGGTGTGGAGGGGAGTGTCAGGGTGCAGGCTCGACCGTGCCATCCACCAGCTCCCGCCTCCGGTCCTCTTGACTATGTCTTGACAAGGTCCAGGCGGGGGAGAGAGTGCGGTAGATGCAGCGTAAGTCCACACTCATTATAAACTAATTCACGCGCAAGTCACCATCCCTGCCCCACTTTGGTGTGGGGCACACGGTGGACATCATCGGAAATGACGGTCGAACGGTCATACAGAAGACCAGAATTATATCGACTAACGCCAAAGGGGACGGACTGGTAGAGCTTATGAATGGTGCTATAATCACCCCACTGAAGGCTTTTACGACGAATCATCATCCGCAAACTGTGACATCCGCCTACCCAATGCGTTAATGGCATGCCGTATTGCCATGCCGTAGGTCTCAAATGGATGTGTCTCTTCTTCATGTTGACTGGTCTCCAAGTTCGCCTCTCTGATGCCTCTAACCACCCTATACCCTCTGCAAAATCTATTCGCCTGACAAGTATGTGCTCGAACTACAGGAATTAACGAGCTTTCAACATTCTTCCCAACAAGATGTTTTCGAGATCAGATAGTCGATCCTAAGATGACCGCCGACAGTCTAAGCATTTTTCTGCTTATAAAATTCGTTTAAAATGTAATCTTATCAGTCTTGAATATTCGGGTTCGAGCAAATATCGTTCTTTAAATCCCATGTTCCACCTGTTGCAGTGCAATTGTGGCCATTTAATGCTTCTCATTGTCTTATAAACCAGATCCAGGTGATGTCCTGGTCAGAATTCGAAAGCCAATGTAACTAAAATATTTGCCCTACTCCTTTATAATACCTAATCTCGCTCTTGAAATGGAAGCCTTTCTTAGTACATGGAAGGAATCACACTTGATGTCTCTTCTCAAACACAGTCGTTCTATATCATTTGGCAACATTCGGTCAATTCACAAACCTGCTGTTTCCTTCAAGATCCAAGAGACCCTAATCAGTGGTAATGTTAGACAAACTCAGCAGATAATAACCTGACAGTTTGACCGTCAATGTACGCCGTGTATTACACAACAGGATGGGCGCAGGGGTGGCGACTTGCGCGTGAGTTATTTTATAATGATGGTAGGCTTGCACAGCATTTGCTGCACTTCCTTCTTCTCTCCCATCCGGTCCCGATGTCATGAGCGAGTCAAGGAGACCGTAGGCAGGAGAGGGCGTAAGTGATTGGGACGGCGAGAGCCCGCGCCTAGATGTGCCGCCACGCCTCACGGCCCCACGCACAAACGACAAAGGGGACGGCTCAAATCCC